AATATATAATAAATTATTTATATATTTAATAATGAATAATATTATTTATATATTTAATATTAATATAATAATATTTTAATAAAGATATTTAGAATATACTAATAAATATTTGTAAAATATAATATAATTACTTTAATAAATAATTAATATAATTTATAATATATATTTATTTCAATAAAATATACCATTACAGATATATTTCTCTTCATGTTTTCTCTTTTTAAATTTAGTCAGGTCTTACGTGTTTGTCTATATATAAAGATTTTTTATGAAAAGATTTATTTGCAGGGATTACTTCTATTACAGACGCGTATATGAAGAATGCATATGAAGACTGTTCAACTATGTATTTATTTATTTATATATGCATTGCATTTTATTTTTATTTTTACTTTTTCGACTGTCGGAGGTCTTCCACGGAAGTTGCTCTCAACTTGGCGTTGAGAGCAACCTACTACCCTGCTTCCCCCTAACCCCATTACACATGAGAATAGGATTTTGTTGTTGTTGTTGTTGTTGTAATATTTTTATTAATAAAATTATAAAAATAATGTTTAATAATAAATAATTTTTTTAATATTTTAAAAATAATAATATTAAGTTTTATGATAAATAATATTATTTATTGTATTTAATATTTGTAATACATAATTTTTAAAAAACTCATCAACTAGTGAAAAAAAGGTTTAAACAACATCTTTCAAATATCGTAAAACGTTTTCTAGATGTTTTTAAAAAAAATGTAATTCATTTTACGGAAAACATTTTCTAAAAAATATTTTCCAGAAATGTAATTCATTTTCTAGAATTCAATTTCCAAAAAACCAATTACAACCAAACAAACAAACTCATAGTCACCATTTTATAAGCAGACTAACTCCCTTACATTCTTCTAACAGTACGGTCAGAAAATTTCTTCTTTTGCCTTGAAAGTCTCCACTCCCCTTGTAAATTGTAATGTAAGCTCTACGTCATTTATACGTAAAAACCCATTTCTTCTTTTACCTTAAAAGTTGTGGTGATTGAATTTAATTCTTTTAGCGACCATATTTATTTTCACTAATATTGCATTTATGTATCTTAAAAAAATTTAATTTAAGAAACTAAAAAAAAATCTAGAGTAAAGCGGTGTTGTTTTATTGAGTATATCAACTATTAAAATTTATAAAATAATCATTTCGACTATAAGGTATTATTTTGTTGAGTCTCCAATTATAAAAAGCTATAAAATAGTCGCCGACTAATCATATATTATAAATTCATCCTTTTACTTTTAAAAACCGGAGACCATCTAAGCTGAACATTAACATGCTCACCAGAATTTAATAAAATATGATTCTAGAACTGTTTGAGTTGTGTTTTGAGGATTGAGTCTTTGTTTACATTATGTCATCGAGTTAGTTCTTGAAAAATTATGGCGTCGAACCAGTGCTTGAAAGCAATGGCGGTGCCAATAGACATCATTAAAATACGATTTTATCATATCTCAATCAGTAAGTTAACGTCCAGATCAAACGACCTTCAAAATTTTAACGAAAAATAATGAGTTTGGAACATATGAATATTCATGTGACCATTTTGTAACTTATTATAGTCGAGGGCTCAATAAAGTAGCGCCCTATAGTAGAGGATCATTTTGTAACTTTTAATAATTAGAGGACTTAATAAAGCAATGCTTTATAGTTCTTTTATAGTCGATAGATCATTGGAAAATTCTAGAATGCACGTTGTACACTAAAACACACCACTAATGTGACACATCGATACACACCACTAACTAAATTGTCCTTATTACATAAATTTGGAAAAAAATATAATGATCTATCCATAATTAATCCTTTATTATTATTTTATTTAAATTTTTATATGGATATAATTAAATTATATTTTTCTTAAAAAATATAATTATTTCTAGAATTTTTATTTGTTTATGATTGAAACACTTAATTTATATAAATTTACATATTCATCCCAACAATAATCATCGGAATCAACAATCGACGATCCAATTCATCGTCGGAAAATCATGTTTTTCAACCACAGCTTTAAATTCTTGTTCACCCAGTCCCCACCGATTTTTAGATGCTTTACAATACCCATCTTGAAAATTTTTTAATAAAGAAGACGAGTCTTTATTAAAACCCCCTCATAATCGACATTAAACACAAGGTTCAACGTCAAAAAGCGAAAAGGTAAAATAGTGCCAAGAATATGTATTATAAATCAAACATCATAATGTTCTTACAACAAAGGAATAATACCAAAAAAAATAACCAGACTTAAGCAAAATCAACGCAACCAAGGAAGGTAGCAGCTTGCATCCCCTAGACTACAACATACCAAAAACACAAAATTGACTCCCAAAATACTGGAAAAAGAGAGAACTAAGGAGTTCAAGAAAGCAGTTGACAAAACTAATACACCACTGAGGAGAAGACCAAAACAGCCAACAGGAAAAGCAATCCAAAAAATAAGCAAAGCTGCAACTTACGAAACAGAAAATGCATAGCTTGAACCATTCAATAAAAACATATAGAATAACCATAACTTATACCTCACAGGGAATCATAGATGTTGGAAGAGGAAATTCCGTATAGAAACTTCAAATTCACCTTCACCCAAAAGATAACGGTCTAAAAAATATTTGTAGCCTTGATTAATTCTTCATATGTAAACAATGACTTCGAATTGTCTAAACTGTTGGGTTCTGCCATCATTGATGGTGAATGCACAAAATCACTTCCGAAACTAGTTTCAACGAGAGGAGCTGAAGATTGTGTCTTTGTATGAGATGAATCTATAAGCATGTACCATTTATCAAAACAGAAGCTCCAATTACATATAAATCGAAAATTATCAATAATTCCTTAAGCAACTGAATAAACTAATATGCAGCTGTGAAAAAATTATGTGATCTTGAGAAGAGCCTAGTGGGGATGACATTACATAACCACAGGTAAGTAACACGATTTTTCGGCAATGAATAGGATCGTCGACGGTTAGTTTGATGGTTGCTATTGGGATGAATATGCAAACTTATATAAATTAAGTGTTCCAATCATAAACAAATAAAAAATCTTTAAATAATTGTATTTTTTAATATTTAATTAATAAAAATAGTCTAATTAGTGGTTGCATCGGTGTGTCGTATTAGTGATGTGCATCAGTCACTACAGCAAAAATGGTTTTTAGCGGCGGATGTAGCGGCGTTTTTACTGCAAACGCCGGTAATTGTTTACATATAGCGGCGTTTTTGAACAAACACCACAAAATACTATAATTTAGTGGCGTTTGTATAAAAACGCCGCTAAAGAATCGTAATGTAGTGGCATTTTTATACAAACACCGCTATAAACTAGTATTTTAGTGGCGTTTTTATACAAACGCCGCTATAGACACGTACTTTTGTGGCATTTTAATACCAAACGCCGCTATAGACTCGTACTTTAGTGGCATTTTTACACAAACGCCGCTATAGACACGTACTTTTGTGGCGTTTTAATACCAAACGCCGCTATAGACACGTACTTTTGTGGCGTTTTAATGCCAAACACCGCTATAGATTCGTACTTTAGTGGCGTTTTTACATAAACGCCACTATAGACATGTACTTTTGTGGCGTTTTAATACCAAATGCCGCTATAGACTCGTACTTTAGTGGCGTTTTAATACCAATCGCCGCAATTGTCATATAACCTAGTGGCGTTTACGTAAAAAAACATTGCTACTGAACACTACTTTAACATATCGAAACAAAACCCTAATTTCATAGATTCAGTATGGGCATCGAAATATATCTCCCCTCCCTTTTATCTCTTCGCATCCACTCTCATCCTTTGATCCTTCGACCTCCATTGTTCGATCCATCTTCCCCTTAGATTCAACCCAGATATCTCCCTCTTTCATTCCCCTCTTGGTGGTGGCGCCTGATAAGTTGTCGGTGAAGTATACTGCCGTAAGCCTCCATGGCCATGATGTCGGTGTGGTTCAAGCCAATAACCCGGTTCATGTAAAGCGTCTGGTTTATTACTTCGAGATTTATGTGAAGGACGCTGGAGTCAAGGGTCAAATTGCTATTGGATTCACCAGTGAAGGATTCAAGATGCGCAGGCAACCGGGGTAATCTCTGGCTTTTTTCTTCTTCTCTGTTTCAAGATATTGTTGTTGAAAACCAGTTTTAGTTGGAGTACTTTTCATTTGAAATAGTTTGCATTTGTTTGATGAATTGGGGGAAAACTGGAAATTAAGAAAAAAAAGAAAAGCAAGAGAGAAAAATAACCGAGCGCTTTTCAGTTAGTTAACAAAGGAGCAAGAGAGAAAAAGAAAAGGAAGGATAGAGTGAGAATTAATTTCATTTGATGTTTTCTAGTTTTATCAGTATGTATGATCGTTTATAGCTGCTTGATAATGGAAAACAATGCATAAGAAGATTAAATCCAATCTGAAAAAAGAGGAAAGGGAGTTGCTCTTAGTTGAAGTGAAAGAGAACTGATCTTGTGTTCTGCCTGTTGTTCATTCAGTTCAACTGATTCTATGACTAGTTTTGATGAGAGATTCTGGATATTGAGAGAAGTAAATCTCTTCCTATGTTAAAGAAATGATCTTGTGTCGAGGGTCCCTATTTTTGGTAATTCAGTTCAATTGGGCTTATTTCTTGTTTTAGTGAGAGATCCAGAATATTTAGATAAATGAATCTCCTTTTAGTGATTGGGAATGTGTGTGCATTGGGGGGGAGAAAGGAATGAATTCTCTCTTTTAATATTGTGGGAAACACAAGATTTTTAAAGAATGAAAGAAATATAATCAAGATGAAAGCTTTTAATTATGTAATACATATAAGAAAAAATTTATTTTTCGTAAATTCTTATATGTACACACTAAGTTCAAAGTATCCTTAACTGTGTCAGGTGGGAAGTAAACAGTTACGGGTATCATGGGGATGATGGTAGGCTCTATCGTGGGCAAACAAAGGGAGATGCTTTTGGTCTAACATATACAACATGAGATACGGTTGGTGGCGGCATAAACTTTACTTCACAAGAATTCCTTTTCACGTAAGTGCAGTTGTTCATCAAGCACTGTATTTAGGAGCACTTGTGGCTCAAATGTATATGCTCCTTACATGTGAGGTTCTGTTCATTTCTGAAGATTCTCATGATTCTGTATGCTCATATGTTGATGCCAGTAAAAATGGGGCAATAGTAGGAACTTTTAGCAAGGAAAAGGAAATGAACCGTTGCTTGTTTCCCACCATTGCTGTCCACAACCAAAATGAGGAGTATGTTTACCTTCTTTTATTGTGTATTTATATGAATTCTCTCATCTATATGTTGTTATAACGTACCCATATTTGCATTTGGCGAAATATAGGAATAATGGATATGCCATTTCTCTCTATTCCTTCCTCTTCAGTTGCATTTAATTGATACATTGAGGTTTGTCTATAATGAATGAGAAGTGATGGGTTAGTTATGACACCTTTTTTCCTGCCATTTTCCAACATATTGTTTGGCCTTGTAAAATTACTTTAAGGGGTAAAATAAGCTAAAAGTTGCCTGAGGTTATTCAAACTTATTTCATGATAGTGACAGTGCCAGAGTCGGTTTATATGGCTTCAATATAAAATTTTCAGATCTGAACATAGGTTAAATGTGGCTTGAGCAAGTTAATAAATTATCAAGCTGAAGTGTAGTAGGCTTTTGCCAGACTCTGCTAAGCTAGTTTACAGTCATATCCTTGGGCAATTGGTGCGCTATGTTTAAATCAAATATAACACAATATTGTCCTACTCCGTTAATAATGTCATGTATATTTTCAAAAAACTTGGCTTTGGAATGTTATAATTAGGCTATATGTCCGAGGGGAAATTTTGTGATTAATGCAAAAGTGGCAGAAGTATGTGTTATGGATGTGACTTTTATATGCAATTTGCAAATGATGTTTATAGTGATTCTGTTATTTGAAAAATCAAACAAACTCTTCTCATTCGGTATGCTAGTAGGTTGGCATTTCTGGTGATGATATGCTGCTTTGGTTGTTAAAAACACCTAAAATGCAATTACGATATATCTTATCTACTTTGGTTTTTCCTTACTACTTGCATTGATATTTATTACATAGTTTCATCATCATGCAATTATGATATTTCAAGTTTTTCTAATGAGCTTTTTTATTTATTTCAAAATGTGCAGGGTTCATGTCAACTTTGGGCAAAATAAGTTTTCTTTTGATCTGAAGGCAAGTTATGCTTCCTTTTTCTGCTTGTAAATAGTCTAATTAATCTTAGTAAACCATGGTTCCCTCAGTCTGTCATTTTAACTGGTTTTTTTCTGTATCTTCCTGTTTATCATCTTTGATGCTATATATAAGGAATATGAAGCTCAAGAAAGGTTGAAGCAGCAGATGACTATTGAAAATATGCCTCTACCTCCAAATATTAGTTATGGGTATTTTTTTCTCCTTCTGCTTTTATGTATTTTCTGTTATGTTGTTTTACATGCCTGTCCATTGCAGTTACCTATTGGATGATTTGATGTTTGTGGTTAAAGAAGTATCTAAATTATTTAAATCTAGGCTACTGCTATGATAATGTAACAGTTTCTGTAAAATAGAAACTTGTCCTCTAGGCAATGGTGTTAATATTAACTGCATGTTGTTGGTTCTTGATAACTGGTCTATCTTCTGCCTCATGTTACATCACATTGTAATAAGGCATTGAAGAAGTCTGAAAGGGTTTTGAAGCACCAGAAGCGGTATGAGTAGAAGATAAAATATTAATACTTGAAGATATATGTGTCAGACTAAATCTAGAGAATAAAATCTTATGCATGCAAGTTCTAATGTTATCAGCGATGACGATTTGCAAGCCTTTTTGCGTATATTCCGTCAAACTACAGAGTACACAAAGGACATTATTATATATGTATTTCATGATCCTAAGCTGGAGCCCAACCTTCTAGTCACAACAGTTGTTATCTTGGGGTAAGAATTCTAACTTCTATAAGTAAGATGGCAACCAATACATTATTAAATTTTTTCTTTATGATGACATTTTTTACATTCTTATGTAGAATATATTTTAGTTTTCATGGTTCCTGCCTTCCTGTTTTTGTTGTTTGTTGCAACATCTTTTTTCAGTTCTCAATCACTCACATGTAGGTTATGAATGCAAGTTCTGCTGGTTGTTTCATTTTCTTCTTAGTCTCATCTAAATTATTATAATTGCAGTAATCTTGAAGAACAAACTTCAACAAAAAGCGGCTTCTTCAATAGACTGGCACAACGTTTCCCATTTGTTTTTAATCTATTGAGGAGAGATCATTCATTGTCAAATGATACTTTCAAATAAGATGTCAAGACGATGAATATGACAAATTCCAATGAAGTGGGAAACAAAGTAGCTTTAGAAGGCATATCTGGAGGTTATGATGATGACGCTAGTGAAATTGAGGATGTATCGAACAATAAATCCATGTATATCTACACTTTGAGGTTTAATTGTAACTCATTTGTACTTTAATGTCTTTTAAGGTTCTCTTTCCATAAAAAAAACTTTAATTTATTTTGTTGTTAAGTATTTTTCTTTATGTTTTTTGTCTTAATTAAAATGTATGGTTGTTGTTAATTAGATAAAGCTAAAGAAAGGTAATTAGCGGCGTTTGTATCCAAAAACGCCGCTATAAGTCTGACTTTTTGCGGCGTTTGTGTTCAAAAACGCCGTTATAGGTCTGACATTTTGCAGCGTTTGTGTCCAAAAACGCCGCTATAGGTCTGACCTTTTGCGGCGTTTGTTCTAAAAACGCCAGTATAGGTCTGCTCTTTTGCGGCGTTTGTATCAAGAAACGCCGCTATAGATCTGACATTTTGCGGCGTTTTTTTCTAGAAACGCCGCTATAGATATCGACCTTTTCCGGCGTTTGTTCAAAAAACGCCGTAATTGATATTGAGCTATTACGGCGTTTTTTGTTCTCAAACGCCGCTAACTTTAGCGGCGTTGATATTGCTGGCGCTTCTTACGGCGTTTTTTCTATCGCCACAAATACTTTTAGCGGCGCTTAAAAACGCCGCTATAAGACTAAAAAAACGCCGCTAAAACTCTATTTTGCTATAGTTAATGTGTTGCATTAGTGTTGTGTTTCAGTGTGCATCATACACTCTACACTCATCCATATATCATTTGTGTATTTTACCCAAAAATCTAAATATGGTATTTAAGGGTCAACGTGTCGATTAAGTGAGGTATATAAGGTAGGGTAGGGTTCTTGTTTGACTATGGGGAATGAGCCGACCAGCGCCATAGCAAAGGACAACCACATTGTGGCGTTTCCATTTTCTCGACCGCCCGAAGAAATTTTGTTCTTTCAAACATTTTGAACAACCGACTACGCTCTCTAAAGTGGGTTTCTGTCTTAACTTGCCTGTGTTTTTTTCATGTTTTTCTTTTTGTTGCTTTTTAAATGACAGTGAGTGTAAGAAAATGTGAGGGGGTTAGAAAAGCAAATGAGAGACCATGTAAATTATTATCCGTTTGTTTACTTTTTTTATTTTAAAAAAGATGGGATTTTTTACTAACAATAATTCACTTTATTGGGATGTTGATTTCTGGGTTGTGAGGGGTTAAAAGGATTTGCTGTAACCTTAACCGATGATTGCTTCAAGCTTTACTTCATTGACGAAGGCAAAGTTCAATCCAGATTCTGTAGTTTTCTCCATTTACATTACGTATTAAAAGTAAAAAAGAAATACCGTCTTAATTTCGTTTTCTAAGTATGAACAGCCCTTGTCTGAGTCTCTACTCTATGGCTATTGTTTGTTGAAAGCTAGGCCGTATGCTGTTGAATTCTTATTTGTTCACTTATAAGAGAAAGACAGGAATGGACCAATAGGGAGTTTCCAAAAGTTAAAAGTATCGGCGGGAGGGATGAGTAGGACATTATTAACACCCTATTTGCAAATCCATTCAAGTCGAAGACAAACTTTATTTCACGGCAAGAAGATGACGCTTATAATGTCAACCGATATACACTTGACGATTGGGGCTCCTTAATCATTAGTTGTTTGCACTGTATGGATCATGGAATAATGTTTTGTTTTCTGATATCAACTTTAGTTTTATATAATGCTAACGCTAAGCCATTTGATTTCTTAATTACAGGAATATGGGTCAATTTCGAGCATGTCGTGTGCTATCCGATATTGAATAAGTAAAGCAATGAGAACGTGAATTTAAGTATTTAAACTCATAAAATTTTATCAATTATAAGAAAGGAATGTTGTTCTTTATATATATCATCGATTTGAGCAGTTGCGACCATGAAATAGAAGTGCATTATCAATTGATTAAGAAAATTTTAAATAGATATTATTTTGTAATAACTCTAAATTAATAAAAAAAATATATTTATAAGCATTCAAACCGTATTACAGGTGCCATTTAAACAAGTAAAAAATCAGTTGTTTTCGTGGTGAACAAAGTCCTGTTTTCTGTGGAGATTAATGGGCTCAGCCCTCTTCAGTTGGGTAAATAAGTATGCCCAGAAGTAATTAAATCTTTTTCTTTTTCCTATTATCCCCAATAGACCATATGTCTCCAATCAAATCAATATCTGAAACAGCCTAGAGCTTAAAGCCAAGCCATAGATACACGCAGTCACTACTCACCATACTGCACCACAAATCATTTCAAAATTCTCGTCACTTTGATAGTTATCGAGTTAAACAACGAGAAACGGAAAAATGATAAAGAGGAGAATGCATAATTCTTCTACCTAGCCTAGCCTTCCGACATTTAAAGCTTAGTTACCCTTCCATATTAGGGATCGGAATTGTTTTCTTCTTCTTCGTTTTGAGTTTTGAGTTAGCGATCTACGCAGACTTTTTCTTGTTAGGGATCGGTCTTCAAGGAATTCTTGCGAAAGATGTCTCTGGACCTCCTTACCAACGCATCAAACATTGATGTACTGGCCTCGGCCTCCTTTTTCCCATTAAAAAGAAATCACCTCAACCAGTATTTAAAACGTCAAATTATCAACTTAACAGCAATAATTAATGGTTTATGTAATATAACTATTAAAAAGACAATAGTACCAAATAATGGTCCTTGTAAGCGTCCAAAATAATGTATCCATTATCCATTCGACTAAGCCCGATACTGGCGTCTGATTATTCCACCTAATTGTGTGTTTTGGCATTAAATATAAAAGTAAAACTGTGTATTAGAGATGTTATAGGTTTAAATGAATTTGATTCTCTATTTCCTGAAAATGATTCAGCTGTAAGAAATAGATCAATGGCAAAGGTAATGCCTTTGGTAGCATCATGTCCCTCAGGAATATCTACAACAATCCTGCAACACAAACATTAATTTTAAAGGATACAGGAATAGGTTGATATAGGGGTTCAAGGAGATGGATGTTTGCTGTCTGTCTGTCTGTATTTGTGTGCATGTATGTAATTCGTTCATTTTGATTGAAGGGGGAATCATAAAATATGGGAACAAACATGAAGTAATGCAATATCCATGTAAAACAACCTTGAAACTTAATTCATATAATGAGATACTCGATAGACCAAAGAGGCCCTTTATATATGATTCTAATCTAGCGTGCTGCTTGATTTCGACACCAATTAATGGTATTGGGGTAGTCATCAAATCAGAAGACTAGTTGTGTAGTTTGCACTTGGTATTAATTTCCCAAATATTGGAGAAAAAATCTAGGAAGGCTAATCAACAAAGAGAGACAAAACCTGGAGTATTTATAATTCTCTTGAATCTTGACTCCTGATATGCATTTGCTCCAGAACTAGCTCAGGCCACCATAGAAGGCAAACTACTGAGTAGATAAGAAACTGATTTGGTCGGAAGTCCTGTTGAGGCCTAATTTTATTTAAATATTGTAATGGAACCATAAATTTTGTACTACCTTTAACCCTGTTCCAACTATCGAATTCATTGTCTTGTCTACCATGATTTTCTTTATTACAAATTCAGCTTCCATGTACGGACCACTTGAATGGTAGGTTCAAACTTCAAACTCAAATCTCATAATTTCATAATTCTCCATTCACAGCATGCCTCCATGGACCAGCTTTTTCAGGAATAAGAACCAACCTTGGATAATAACACCTGATTTTATTTTTGGCATTAAAACCTAAATTTGATTATATATATAAATACAGTGAAGTTACATGTGGAAAAGGGGATACATTGACTCAATTTAGCATATTTGACAAGAAGAAAATTTGAGGAACCAACAAATAGTTAAATGTACAAATTTATTATACATAGAATTGGTTTATCGTCTGCGAAGAATCATCTTACCCTCAGCGTCTTCCTCCACAATACGTAAAACTTCATTCGGAGGAATGTGCCACCAAATTCGAGGCTTCTCTAGCTGATGTCCGATTTGAGCAAACTTATCGGCAGCTTTATTGCCTTCCCTATAGATATGAGTCAGGACGCAATTGTTAAGCTCCGGTATGATAAAGTTTATGTGGCTAACATATCTCTGTAGTTCGGCACATTTAACCTGCCTCCTACGGACAATGACATCAATCAATGTCCTGGCATCGCCTTCGAGCCATAGATCGGTCCAACCATTTTCCAATACCAACTCGAGGCCTCTTCGTAACGCAGATAGTTCGGCGATAGTGCTAGTGGTTCTCCCTATGGATTCAGCATAGCCGAGTAAGAATTCAGCCTTGTGGTTCCTGATGATCCCTCCAATGCTTCCTTTCCCTCCTCTACCCTTACAAGATCCATCAAAGTTTAATTTAGTCCATCCGATTTCGGG